AATAGTGTCAAATGAATATGAGACACCAAGAGTTCTCATGAATAGAACTGAAAACTCAGAACTTAACAAAGTTCTTCCGTGAGAATCCAAAAGCCATCAGAACTAATTATTTGATTACGAATTTTCGAGTTGATATAATAATTAACCAAGCTGATAATTACAATCTGATTAAATGTTACCATCTAATGTGTTGATTACTTTTAATAAGATGAATAAGAGTAATCCATCACGATGAATATACTCAAAAAGATTTACTCAGATTAGTAATATGATTGATCCCGGTTATGACATTTTCTTATATCTAAAGTTCATAACATGATCAACATTGTCTTATTTTATTCAGTCTTGTTATTAGTATGGTGAACTTTTCCCTCTTCTTCATCAGATCAGATTATTTCATCTCATGTCTCATATTGAAAATTACAGATTAATCCATTAAATCTGTTCAAAAATAATAATCATTTGATAACTATTAAGTTTTTCTCTTCAGAAAATTCAGTTTCCAACAAATTCAAATTGAATAATCAACTTTTATTTACCATTTGTTGTATGTATTTGACAAGAAGAAGAAGAAAGAAAGAAAAATTAATCTACAATTTAATAGTTCATGTTACATGGGAGAAATTTGCATTCTCTGAAATTATCTCATCATCGAATCATTTTTATATGAATCAGAATACAGACATCACATGGAATCCAAACTGATTTAAAAGAATAATTTTCAATCATATTACTTACTACTGAGAATCTCTTGTAACTCATACACCATTGTAACGACAGCAAATTAGAATGATAACTTTTTTCATTATTAAACTAATCAAATTATCAAAATTATCAGGTTAACTGTAATCAATCGTATTTGGAAATATAATTGAATCAATAAAAAAATGTCTATTTGCAATTAGAATCGTAAGATTAACATGATCAAGGATTAATCTTTTGAGATGATTAAGATGAAGGTGAAAGTTGATTGAGTATTGAGATGATTAAGATTTGCATTATTGGATCAGGTGATGATGACGATGATGATAATGGAAGATAAATACATTGAGCTGAATATGGGAACAAACTGTAACCTGACTGAGAACTGGTGAAAAAACTCTTATGAAGGAAATAAATGGCAATAGTTAACCTTAGATTCTTATTCTTTCAGGGTAAAACTTTCACCCAATTAGATGAAGTAAATTCAATTGCTACCTGGATAAAAGAGATGCGAAGGAGATGAAAATAAAAAAGTATTTACGGTTAGAGGATATTTAGCAATAGGGAGATGAGAATATAAGTCATTGGAATTGAGTTTTTCTCATTCTCTCAGCCATTGATAACATTTTGAGCCGATGAAAAAATTGAGAATCTGTTGCAAATTCTAGTCTAAATTGTGGTGCATTTACGATTCCATTTATCTCAGAAGATTGAGATTAATTAAAACTGGCATTTCATTGAGAACTCTACCTGAAAAATAAGTTCTCAATCTTCAACTCTATGAACTTTTCTCACTCAAATTTTCAAATGAAATCTTTTCATGAATTTCAGATAAATGATTCATCTATTATTCTCGTTCCCCATGGTTTGAGATAATAGTTAATCTACACACTGTAACCACTAATCAGATAAACATAATATTTATTCAGCAGTTTCATGGTGAAACTGATGAATTGAAAGGTTTAAATTTTCCCAATCTCATTGATAACATATTAGAATTGATAATATTATATTATATATATGTTTTAGCATTTTCATGTCACAGGAAAAGATGAGCACTTTGTTTACACAAGAAACTTGGGAGAAATTTTTATCTAAGTAAATAAACATTTACTATCATTCTGGTGGTAATAAACATGTATACGAATTTAAGAAAACAGAAAGGTATCATTTATTAATTACTCGTACTAATTGATGAAATTAATTTACCATGAAACTCAGTAAAAATCTAAATTTGTTGGTGTTTGAAGATGGAAAAAAGTATAAATAAAATAAATAGACAGAAAAAGCTTTCATCTTAATTAATACATTTTTGTTACAGTAGCAGAGTGAAAATCGCTTCAGGTTGAACAGCAATTCAGAACTTTCATTCATTATGATTAATAATCATTATTATTAAAGTTCTGTGGCTCTGAAATACTACAAGAAGTTCATGATGATGATAATTAGATTCGATTATCAAGTAAATGATAAATTTTCATAGTTTCATTGGTAAATATTAGTTGTTATTAATAATATTTCAAGCATATAATAAAGACAAATCTCATTCCATGTTTTTCCTCAACAATGAACTTTATTCATTTTTTTTTGATGAGTTTCAAATTTTTTCGCTGTCGATTTGAAATTAATTTAAATTATCATCATAATCTTGATTCATATTAACACCTTTAATAATAATAATGATAATTTAGTTGAAATGAAAACATTTTAAATCATATTGTGCATATGAAAGTAATCATAAATAGCCTCAAGGGATTTGGAAGATAGTAAGAAAAATAAACAGACAAAAATATTGAATTAAAGAGAAAGATAAATGAATAAGTTATTGTGAAAAGTTATCAACTCGATTTTGTGGAAGTAAAGAGAAAAAAATTCGAACCCAAATGATATTAGTAATAGAAGGACTCGTAAACTTTATCAGAGAGAGAGAGAGAGAGAGAGAAAAGTTCTGTGCAAAAGTTATCATACAGATATTTGTAATTCAATGAATTATTCCGATGTTAGCTCAAGATTATCATGTAAATTCATGTAATTTCCTGTAGATGAAAAATGTTGAGATTTATTTATTTCTCAACATCATCTCATTGATACTCAAGGATAACAGAAAATGACAATAATAATAGCGATAGTAATAAAATGGTCATCGTCATGGTCATCATGTAATTACCTTCACTTGTTACCTTTTAAAATGATCATCACCCTGATAATGGTTTTCATGCTAATGAGTTTCATTATCATTTCATTGCAATTCTAATACCTTTTTATTTTAATCATACATTGATTGTAATGCTGATTGTTATAAATGGTCATTTCTTTTTATATTTTAATATATAACTATTAATTTATAACTCTAATCATTTCAACGACTCAAAATATTTATTTACGATAATTATTTACTTTACATTTCATTTATCAATGAGCTTTCATTGATAATTTTCACCACTACCATGATAATCATTTTCATTCATTTTTTACAATCTGATATTCATTAACCACAATCTGAATTAATAAATTCACTTCAATTTTGATCAATTGAAATTCATGCCAAAACTTCATGTTATTGATTTCCAATAGAATTCCAAATGCTAATCAACTAAACTATTGATAAAATTTGCCTTTCATCTTGTTACTAAATTGATAATCATTTAATCACGAATCATACTTAATTGTTTCTTTAGATTCAATGGAAATCATCAATTTAGGTGATCAACTTTGATGGTTTTCAATTCATTCTTCAGGTAAATGAATTGATGATCGTTATCATGTTAACCTCAAATTTTTTTTTCCACTGAACTCAAAAAGACAAAACTTTTTCATGTCCTTCAACCTCTTGGTAACAACAACAACAACAAACGAAAACAATTGAAATGATAATCACTTTCATGGATGAAAAAGTAACATAAATAATTAACCTTGGTTCATGATTTATTCAATTCCAACGATATATGCATGTAATTATTACCTGGAAAAAGTTTCGTTGTAAACATTAGTTTACATTGAAACGAAAATGATTCAATTCATTTAAATCAGATTAGATTTAAACTTGTAATCATTGATTAATTTATTATGATGATCAGTAATGTGATGATAATGATTATCAGGTTGATGATTATTTCAATTTCAAGAAAATGGATAAACAATTAATTAGTTTGTTCTTGAAAAGTAACAATAAGCACCATTCATGATATTGATTATCTATCAACAGTAAATGGAAATGGAAATGAAACTAAAACTTTTCTACTCTTTATTTTTGTGGATAAATATAAATAAAGATCAACTTGATCACATAATTTCAATGAAACTTTTTCACTGACAGGATCAGTTAATTGCTGATATTTTCCCTCTAAGTAAACATGATAATCAATGAAATAAAATGAATCCAAAATTGATTCTTTTTTCCCTGTGAATTTACATTAGTAAATGAAAAAAAAAGATTCATGAATCTTTGGTATTCTAAAAACTTAGCTGAGTCTTTCAGAGTTACAACATTATCAAATTGCAATTACTGTATCATTAAGTTATCTGTAAAAATCATGATACTCAGATTACATGATGATGATAATGATGATAAGTTTCATTTCTCAACCATGACACCAATAATTTGGAGAGACAGCAAAAAGACACAATTATTATAATACAGAGAATCGTACATGAAATGTATTCTCAACTTTTTTGAGTGTCAAATGAACTTTAAAAATTATTATTGATTTTGCTTAGAAAATTGAATTACGATGATTAGGTACAGGATTATTTTTGACCATTCACATGATTGGTCAAGCTAAGGTCGTTTAAGGTAGCTGACGAAATGTTATTTCTGTCAAGTGAATGTCGATATGAAAAAATAAAGGTGAAAGTATTATTATGATTGATGAGATTATCCTGAAGATGAGACCAATAATGATTAACACCTTAATCATTTTTCTGGTCATCACTCTGGTCATCAGGAAATTCAACCCAAGTTACAATCTAAATACCTTAACAATTATCAAACTCTCTCTCTCTCTCTCTCTCTCTTGACACTGACTTTTATCTCTTCATCATCTGATAGTTTGGCTTCTTATCATCCTGATCCTTTTATCATCAGATAACCGGCGGAAGAGAAAAGAAATTGATTGTAAAAAGCAATCAACATTTGCTTTCATCACTTTTTCTCACCATCAAATTCATCTCATAAGATTATTAATGTCATCCCAATTCTCAGTATTTCATGGTGATCTCAGAATTTTTCCCAAGATGAATCAACAATTTCAACCAAGAGCTTCATCATTTTCGCGTTTTCATTAAAATCTAAAGCTTACCTGTGCAATCTGATCGAAACGTCCAAATAGATCATTCAACGTTCTAACAAGTTCTGTGGCATTTAATTGTTCCGACAGTGGAGTGAAATTAACGATATCCGCATAGAGCAAACTGTTTGAATGACAAGAAAATAACACCAGAATAAGAATCATGGAGATTTTATATGAACTTTTCAATTCTCATTCAGAAGTTTCTTTTCACGTTCCAATCATAATAACATATAGAACTTTTCTCAAGAATTAGATTGAAAGTTTATCTCTCTCATTCTCATTCTCTTTCTCTTCTTTCTCTCATGTTGAAGAGAATAAAAAAAATCTAAAATAAAATAGTTATTCCAATAGATTCAGTTATCTTTTCACCATAATTCTTGCCTCTGAGTTACCTTTTGTACTTGTGAAAGAAATAATAATGTTAACAATACTCGAGTTGATTATTATTACACAATTGTTATTACCTTTCCACCATCAAGTTAACATGAGAAATACAAAAGGATATTGATGATAAAAAGACATTGACTTTCACTCCAATTCATTTATAATAGTTGATAGAATGAGAAATTGAGAGTAACATCTTCATCTGTTCATGACAAACGGAATTATTTTCATGTGTATATATACATTTTTTTCCCACTGTATTTTGATAAATCATTTATCTCATAACTGATTCCTACTGATTCTGTTTAATAAAATGTTATTATTATTATTATGGATATTATTGAATCTCCAGTTAAATTGAATGAATATTGTATTTATCATTTACCTGACATTGTTGTGTCGTTGAACATAAAGTTCATGAAACCTTTGCTTGGCTGGAGGCCGATAGACTTCATTAGATGTACATGAACTGGTCATTTTTAACATGATCCTCCGTTTAACTTCAGCAGCGATATAAGCAGGAATCACACTGAGAAGTAGTTGCTCCTTTGATTTATTCATTCATAATCAACAGGGAAAAAACGAAAAAATTTATTAGAACGATTTCTCATGTTCTCAGAACTTTGAATATATAATAAAATAACCTTCCACCAATCATAATAACAGCAAATTAAGTAATAAAATCTTCACAATCATTGACATTAGTAAGTTTATTACTTGATACATAATAATCTGAGATCAATTCAATCATTTTCTTTGGACACTTTTACTTCAATTCATAAGGATAATTATAACGATATTTGAACTCTTCGAACTGTCGAAATGTAATTTACTTGGTAGTTTGATTAATCAATCAAATAATTAGCTTGAAGATCATTTGATCAATCGGTTGATATCGAATTTAATTTTGGATCAAAAACATTCAGAACAGAAAAAAAAACTTCCAAACTCGAGTTCACTTACTCGATGAATTTGATTGCTGTCTAATTTACTCCCTATCGACAATCAAAGATAAACAATAAGTTTTATCTATGGAAACAAAAAACGAAAGTTCCAAAAAAGATAGGATATTATCATTAGAATTGGTCAAGAATACAATTTGAAATATTCTTTCATGAAAAGTTTCAAACATCATGATAACCGAGTGATATCATATTACTCTAATGGATTCCAGCTAAATCCAAGTAAAGCTACTGTCGATGTACAAATGTAATGCTACAAATTAAAAGTCACACCAGAATAATGATCTGGTAAAAAACAACGGAAAAGATAAACAACAGAACAACATATTGAGGTATTATTCAATTTTCCCTGGATTGTAAACACCTTTTAACAAGATTAACATGTCAACACCTTAATAATCTTGATCTCCATTGGACCTCAATTCTGATTGAGATTCAGTAAGAGACGAAAAAACTTATTGTAAATATCTTCATATTTCTGGACCCAATATGTATTCAATTCCTTGTACCTTACAAAAGAAAACATCAATAGATATTGAACAAGATTATTGTTTCAAGATTGTTTTTCTCTCTTAACTTTATCCAACATCGAAAAAAAAACTTGCATAACGTATGAACATTCATCTAGTGAATTTTAGTAGTGTGAAAACTTAATTTTCCATCTTTAGGTACACATTCATCATAATCCCTTCGAATTTGAATGGAAATTATATTCTTTCTATTCAGTTTTTTTTGTTATCTTCTTTGTTTTCATTTCTTCTTATTCCAGGTAACGATGCACAGGTATGAAACCATGAGAGAATCATGAAAAGTTCAGACGTATATATATATTAATATATAGAAAACAGGGAAACTTCAGGACAAAGTTCTATTCTATTCTATTCTATTATAAACAAACAATATGAAAGCTGAAAATGATATAATATTTTTATGTTCCAACTGTAATATCATGATTTAGTTTCCACTTTATCTCTTTATCGTAATGTTATGTCAACATTTTGTTTCTCATTTCGAGACAATTTCATCAGAATAACTTGTTACTATTTACCTTTTGTTTTCCAATTGAATCATGAATTACGATTGAATATCGATTGATTATTTACTTTGTTTTTTATTCTGATGCTTCGAGAAATTTTGCTCAGTCCGTTTAATCAATTTAAACCTTTACAACTGACCAATTTTCTTACCTAAAACGAAACTGGTCAATGCTTATTGAAAGTTAACGTAATTTGATTCTGGTCTTATTGTTAATATCATTGAATCTTATATATGTATTAAAGATACAATTAGATTGGATTGATTATATTGATGATGATGTAGTATTGAGACACAAAAATGATTAACTGTTTACTCGTCTGAAAATTGTAATCACAATAATTTGATCATTATCTCAATCATTTAATGCAATATAAACTCAAATTGATTGTTTATCATTATTAACTATCATTATTATTAAGACAATTGATCATTAACGAGTCACATTGTTTATCTGATTACATCAATAGTTATCATTATGATACTTTCTCAATGGTATATTGATGGTCTCATATTAAGCTGTTGATGGAGTATAATTATCTTATATTGAGATCATTTGATTATCATGATCAGTAGATTGATTAGATTTACTGTTATTTTGTTATTCAGCTCTCAGGTTATATTGTAATAATATGAAAGTTCAATATTTTCCCGTTTCAATTATGGTTCATAGTTTTTTGTTTAAATTTTGCTAAAACTTCAAACTCTTGACAGTTTTGATTTTATTTCCCATCATTTTCAAATTTCATGGTAATCATAATGATCACCATATAATTATTATTATTTTCATGATTTTCATCTCAGTTATCAGGGTGAATCTTTTAATCTCAAATAGTCTGAATTTCTTTAACCATTTATTCAACTGATTTCAGTCTCAATTCCTTTAATATGCTCAAGGGTAAAACGATTTCTCTCCATCCTTTTTTTTCAGTCAGTAGATTAACTGTCAACCATATTTGATAATAGTTCTGACAAGTTTTGATATCGATTCTGAGCTATTATATTCAATACAAATTCCAACGAAAACCAGAACTTTTCTCACCAACTCAAGAGTAAATAATTTGGAATCGCTTTTGATTGGAAATTTTTCTCACCTTCTCCTTGTTCAATAATCAAATCATTTCAATTGATTTAAAATAATTTGGAAAAATTTTCTCATTCTTACATAATTCAAATGAAGAAACTTGATGATGGAGAAAAATTTTTTCTTCCAACCAGAACAATTTACTACCTACATCTTTCTGAAGCTCATCAATATTCAAATGAAGTGTTAACCAAGGAAAATGATTGATAAGTTGTAAGATTTTACATTGAAATGTATTTGCATTTTTCAGTTACCATGAACAATAAGACAATGAAAGTTCAACCTTACACATTATCTAAACTATGAAAAACTATTATATTAACTGTTAGTTTCCTATTATTTAGTCTGAGGTTTCCAGTTGATTCATTACAACAATAATAATATTCATATATGAACATGATTGTTATTCATCATCAGGGGGAATCTTTTTTTCTGTAACCTCAATTATTTTGATTTCATTTTCAAATCATGGAGAGGAAATAATTTCATGGTTATCTCTTGAATCTATCGATAGTTCTGGTCAGAATGATGAAAAGTCTAGTGAGGTTTGAGTAATAACTATTACAGAATTTTAATTAACTGGAAAAAGAAAAAAAATTTTTATCAAGTTTGTTTTGTTATCTCTTTTATCTTGCTTTATATGATTTGAAAAATTCTCATGAATACCCTGAGACTGAATGAAAATTGAAGTATTAGATTAAGTAAATGTTTGTCAAATGCTGAAGCAAAAAGTAAGGATAACATTAAGATAACATCAAATTTTACTTAAAATCCATTATAATAATTTCATTAATGTGATAACAACCTGATGACAGGTAAATTATTCATAATTTAGGTAGATAACTGATTAACTGTACTTTGGTTGGTGAACAAAGATTTCATGGAGACTTGAAAAAAGTCATTTCATGTGACATAATTAAGAATAGATGGAAATTGATAATATACATATTAGCTAATTAAACTTACTTGTTGCTCCTTTTCATATTCCAATTTGATCCGAGCATCGATAACCCCACTTGCCCCTGCAAAGGTGCGTTTATAAATATATTGAGTTAATCGATTATGATAAATACCACCAAGTAAACCAACGAGTAACAATAAACCATCAGAAAGCATCTGAAACAATTAGTTTAAACAAACAAATCATCAACATCTTGTTATTATTGTTAATTATTCCTGTCAACATGTAATCAATATCAGGATATATTAATAGATATTAATACATTTACATATAATATATCAATATGTATGTGTATCATTTATGTGTATTCAAATTAAATATTGAAACTTTTGTAACAATCAACAATATGTAGACATGGAAAACTAGTAAGTAAATTATTCAACCTGAACTTGATTGTGAATATCATATGAACCATGAATTATTGAATCGTAACCTTATATTGATCATTTTTAGATCATAATTTCTGATCAAATTCAGTTTCTCATGATCAGTAAGATGAAAAATGATCAGGAAAAATAAAGGTGAGACATGATAACATGTTCATATATTTTTTTTTCATATACTCAATCAGGAGATTAGTATTAATGGTTGAGTGAGAAAATTTCATTTCAACTTTTTTCTTCATCATCATCATCATCTTCTTCTTCTTCATCTTCTTTGTCAATACCTAAGGTGTGTTGAGGTGAAACTATTCAGTAAATAGATTCCCAATAATCTTAATCAATTTAATTAACTTTCGTATTTGCAAAATTGATCAAATAACAAACTTCATTAATCTTAAATTGTAAGTAAACTTGAGAATGAATTTTTTTTAAAGTTAATATTCAATTTGAATACGAGAAGAAAGAAGGGGAAAAAGTTCATATTGTCATGAGAATTGAGGGAAAATTAATAAAAAATTGTTGATTAGAATGATTTAAAAAGTGAATACAAACCTTTCTCCATTTGAAATCTTCAATGAAAACAAAGATATCCAATAGTGTTTGACACAGAATCACAAGGATACCACAGAAAATTGAACTTTTCTGAGAAAATGGTAACATGGTCTGAGAACTGAAGATCGCAAAGAAAGCGGCCAATGTTGAGGTTAGATCGCGATTATAACCATAATCAAGAGTATCCGTGATGATTAGTGTCGCAAATATCCAGGAAGCAAAGGTGACCACATATTGAGCAATTCGAGATTGAATTTCTTGAGGAAATATTATCAAGTATATGATGAAAAGGGAAGCCAATGAAAATAGAACTGTAATTGATTTAATGTAATGATCAAAGAGATCCTGTAACGATAAACCGTTGATAATTTAAGTCGATTAGATTCAAATAATATAACAATTCTCTTTCAATATTATTATATATATAAAATATGAGAAGATTAATTTACTTACTTGTTTTGAAAGGATAAGTGTATTAAGAAAATAGATTATCCCATAAATGATAACGATGAAGAGAAACGATCGTAGTAACGAATGTTGTAATCGACGAATGTATCTTTCTTTTAGATCTTCTAAATCGATATCAGATTTCATGGTGATTCCGTTTCAATTGTTTATCTCTTACAACGAATTAAGAACGATCAGATGATTATAAATACCTAAAGATTTATATATTAATTGATCTGTTAACTCGATTGTAATTAATCTCAATTGAGGATTAATTCACTGTTAGGTTATCACTTTTGTCTTGTCCAATTGGATTGAATTTTTGTTTTGACTCGTTTTCTTTTTGATTGTTTTTTTTTCGAGGCAAGAAAATAATCAATTGATTACTTTTCTTGATTTACCTTTGTTGATTGTTGATTGTTGTTGTTGCTTTTTCGTTAATTATATTGACAATTAACTGATTAACTACACCTACACTGTCTAAGTCCATTGAAGGTAACCAATAATTAGACTGATGGTTTAGAAAGGAAATGAGAGAGTAGAAAATAATTGAGGGAGCTAAAGTGATGAGGATGATAAAGATTCTTATCATTGAATAAGTTTATTTCTCCTTCATCGAAACAATGTTCAAAAGTAGAAAAATGTACTAATTCCGTACAGTGCCGGGTTCGAATTTAAAATACATGCGTCGATTTCGTTACCAACGAATGTACAAAGTCGCCATCTCTATTTATTCGCTGACAATCAATTCTAACCATTAACATATTTAAATTTATATTCTACGAAGTTGTAAGGTTAACAATCAATATCTTCGTCTGTTATTGACAATCAATTGGTAATCAGCTAAGAAAACTGAAGTTTCAATGATTACTAATTAAGCTAATTTATCGATGGCTCATGTTTTGTTGTTCTAATTAAATGATCTGTTTTTTAAAGACTTGACCTGTAATCGGAAAATAGAGTTAATCAGATGGAATTAGATTTACCTGTTGATTGGTATTGTTTCCTTCCGGCGATTAGACTTTAAGGCCACTTTTCGTAAGTAAATTGCGCAGTAGTTTAAAGAATCGAGATTGATTAATAAAGAGATTTTATCTGGCTTGTTAATTGTTGTTGCTGGTTAAAAGACAATTGTATGAGATGCAGAAGTTAATAATTAATGATTAATGAAGAAAATTGAAACAAATCAATTGATTTGTGATGACGCACCAGTAATTATTGATTGAATTTACCTGTTGAATTGTTGAATGAGCATGGAAATGCTTAATTTCGCTTGGATGACAGTCTTTTTTAGACGATTTGATTGTTTTGATTGATGATTCTATTGAAAAGCTATTAGACAAATTGAATAAATTGTCAATCAATCGCAATTCTTAACAGCTTATCATTTCCATTGTTTACTAGACTTCCGATGGTTTTCGCTTTTTTCAGTATAAAAAGGATCAGATTGGTAGAGCATTTTCATAGTGATAAAGTTTTACCAGATTATCAAGTTAAACCAAAGTGATTTAAAGTAATTCTGAAAATGAATTCCATCTCTATTCTTACAGTTTTTACTGTTTTAATTGTTTCAGCAATTGGTCGACCACAGCAAGGACAAGGAGCTCAAGTTGGATTTAATGCTCAACGAGGTCCTGGAGGTCCACAAGGAGGACAAGGTGGCCAAGGTAGCCAACGAGGTCCACAAGGAGGTCAAATGGGATTCGGAGGTCCACAAGGAGGTCAACAAGGTGGCTTCGGTGGACAAGGAGGCCGAGGTCCACAAGGAGGACAAGGTGGCTTCGGAGGTCCACAAGGAGGTCAAATGGGATTCGGAGGTCCACAAGGAGGTCAAGGAGGATTTGGTGGTCAAGGTGGCCAACGAGGTCCCGGAGGTCAAGGTGGCTTCGGAGGACCACAAGGAGGTCAAGGTGGCTTCGGAGGTCCACAAGGAGGTCAACAAGGTGGCTTCGGTGGACAAGGAGGCCGAGGTCCACAAGGAGGACAAGGTGGCTTCGGAGGTCCACAAGGAGGTCAAATGGGATTCGGAGGTCCACAAGGAGGACAAATGGGATTCGGAGGCCCACAAGGAGGTCAACAAGGTGGCTTCGGAGCTCAAAGTGGATTTAATGGCCAACAAGGTGGATTCGGATTCCAATATTGAATGAGACATTAATCCATCAGCTGATGGATAAACCAATAACGAAAACATTAAGCTTAAACTAAGTCTTATTATAAAAAATATGATAAAATAAACTTTTATTCAAAAAAAAAATAATTAATATCACCGTTAAACTATTTCCAACATTGAACAAAACGACGTCAAGATCGGATATTAAATCAAAATCAATTAAACATTTGAATTACCTTTACTAAAGGAAAGTGATACAGTTTTAAATATAATTTTAAATTTCCAATTAATTTCACTGAATATGCTAAATAAAAGTAACAAATCAATTAAAACAATCAGGAAACACAAGTTGTTTACACAGAGAGAAAATTGAATTTACATCAAAAACTTCAACCGGTAAATTGACAAGGTTAATTCAACCATAATCATAACTTTAATCATTGGCAATTAACGAGTAAATCATTAATTGTAAATAGTTAATTTGTTGCAAGACAAGTTTTTGGTAGTAAAAAAAAATATCTGATTTGTTTTCCTTTGATAAAAACCATTTAAAATCAGTTGAAAATTAAATCATAATCAGTTAACAAGATATTGAGGTTAAGCTAATCTGTATTAGTCAAAGTAAATTGATTGTGTACAATGGTTAATTTATCAATAGCTGACAATGATAATTCACTCGATAGTGGATCAATTAATCACCTTTATAACAATACAACAATTAATAGTATTTTTGGACCATCATTAATTTGGATTATATTAATTCAATGGATTGTAACATTACCTTTAATTGATTCTTGTGAAAAATTCAAGTTAATCACTTCAATCATTTTCTCAACGTGTTTAATTATCATTCGTTTGGTGTCTTCATCATTAAACATTAATCAGTTAAATTGTCACATTGAAAATTGTGCTGATAATCAATCTAATCAATTTAGTTTGATTGTTGATTATTTTGTTTCCATTTTTACAAAGGTAATCTTTACAACCCTTTGGTCAATCTTGTGGATGCGATGGACATTACCTTGTAATTATTTCACCTTTAATCGTCAAACATATAATCGTCAACAATTGTTACCAATTTGTTTAATTGTTTGTCTATTTTCTTGTTTATTATCCAACAATTTGATTACACATTTCAATTCATTCTTAATATTCATGATAACTTTTCTTTGGCTTGGAACTGGTAGTTATTTTATTGGAAGATTACAAACTAATCCTGGTTTACTTTTGTTCCCTGTCATTGGATTAACTGGATTAGAGATTTCGAAAGCTTTCATTTCAAGTTTTTCTTATGGAAAAACAATTGAAATCCTAATCGAAACTGTTCTAATCTCGTTAGCAACTTTACTCTTATCCTGTGGCTTAGATAAGTCTCGATGTATTCAAGATCTTTTTCCTATTGAATTTCCAGTTTACTGTTCGTTGGCGCGGAAAAACTTGTTCCCATTTATAAGACAAACTTTTAATGCCTTCGTTAGAAAAGAGATCGACTTAGATCAAACCGTTTTCGACGATTTCAATGTTTGTCTCAAGATATTGAAACACCATTGCGAGACTCTCACAGTCTCATTGCCCTTTTATACTTCAAGTAAGTTGAAATTACCTGATAAAATTGTTTACCATTGAATTTTAAATTTCTTTCAATTTTTCACCGTAAAAATTTAGGTGCAAGAGTTGATGTTACAATCGCTTATGCTTTTATTAGAGTATCAGATGATCTAGTGGACGATGGTCAACTCAATATGAAACAACGATTGGTTAACCATAAGATTATACTTAAATTTATGGATCAACTTTTCTCATCTCGAAATGAAAAATGGACATACGATGTTGGTCAGCCAATCGATTCAGCAAATAAGCCTCCAGTTAATTGGGAATATTATAAATCTAACCTTCCCTTGGAAGCATATCAAGTACTTAAAGCTTATGCTCGGACAGTTTATTATCAACCAAGTGGACCAATGAAAGATTTGGTATCAACTTATAGTTGGGATTTAGAGGAGAAACATATTGCCAATGAGAAAGAGTTAATTGAATTTGCTCGTTGTGCCGGAGGCGGAATCATGGCAGCATTTCACTGTATCCAATTATATAAGAGTGGATTATATCCAAATGGTATCTCACCTTTAGAGAGGCCATTTATTGATACTTTCTATGCGATTGGTCAAGTAAGTTTTTATCAATTCTTTATTAGTTTATCATTACTGTTATCGAATTTATTTTCTCATTTTATTTTCAGGCAATGCAATTGGTTAATATTGCTCGTGATATTGTCCATGATAGTACAACCGATGGAAGATGTTATATACCTGCAATGTTCATGGAAAATTCTGAAAAAGAAATTGACCTGTTAACGAATAAGAAAACACCCTGGGCCTTGGGTGTGGAAACTTTGAGTAAATATTCAAAGTTAATTGTAGCTCTTTCTTATTATTGCTGCTCTAAAGTACCGCAAACATTGAATTCGATGCCTGGTGAGGTTCGAAAACCTTTAATGATATTCAGTGAAATTTATCGAACTATTGGTTCACAGATATTGAAACATGAAGGTTTCGAAAAACGTATTTTCGTACCACTTTACAAGAAGATTTGGATCGCATTGAGTTACCTTTATTTCAATAGAAAACACATCTAAATACAATTTACTCTTTTTCGATTTTGTATCAAAATCTTTTCTCTTCTTCTTAATTGTAATTAAAAATTAAAATTCTATCGTTATTATGTACATATCAATAAACTTTATATTAATCTAAACTCTCAATGAACCAACAGAGTATTAGTTTTATCATGTCTTAGGATTCACCATGAGAGTCATTAAAATTTTGATTGAGAGAAATTAAGATTTTACCTTCGATATTTAGATCGAGATAATAAAGTTTGGTAATTTCGATATTATCAAAAAGTGATTGACAGGCACAAACATCGCCTTAGGGCATCAAGGGCTGACCAGTTTGTTTTATTAATTTCCTTTGGTGACTAAATGATTGTGATCATTAAGATAATAATCATCTTCATCTCATGCTTGTTGTTTATCATTTTTTTGCTTCTTTGCTCATGTTTTGATCATTAGGGAATAATAAATAATTTAGTAATCATATTTGTCACAATTTAATCACATTAAGTTAATGATTATCGACATTTGGAACTGGAAATTCAAAGGGATAATCCATTCGTTTCCACTATTAAGTCTACTAGGTGATTAGCTCTGGACCAGATTAACTCTTTAAACTTTCATTTCATCTTAGAAAAATAACTTTTCTTGGATTACAATCAATTAGATAATTAAATTAAAACCATTAGCGATTAATTGATAAAATGTTATCCGATTATCTTATCAGTTTTTTTCCTTCAAACAAACTCAAAGATTGAAGGGAAAACTAGTTGTAACCATGGAAATTAACCAGTAACAATTCGTAATTACGTTAATCATGTTGTTTATTTTCACAGAAATTAAATTTATCCTTATTTCCTTTATCATAACAACACATTAAACTGTTTTCATTCATTAGGTTAATGTTTAAAACTACAACAATTAACAGAGATTCTTTAATTGCTATTAAAATCGTTTTGTTGTTCAGTTGTAATTTGTGTGGATAAAATGTCAAAGACTAATGAAAGACCATTGAAAATTTTGATAACATCGATGATCAGGTGAGTTTAATTCATCTAATAATTGTATCCAAGTTAATTAATTCAAGTTAACTGATTGTTTTGTTTAGTGTTGGTCATTTAAATGCCTGTCTTGGAATTGGATTGTTACTTCATAAACGTGGGCATGATGTTTATTTTGCTCATTATCTTAAGAATCGTTCGGTCATTGAATCAAATGGAATGAAATTCATCTCATTATCGGAGTATAATAATAATTCAGATTATATTATCCATGAAGATTTACCTCGACCTCCAGGATTTTTTAAATCTAAATTTGATCATGCAATGAAATTTTCACCACTCGAAATGATCAAAGATGAGCTAAACAGTAATAAAGATAATGTCGGTTTCCTGAGTCTCCTTGAAGCCTCAATTGGTGAAAATTATTCAATGTTGAACATAATTGACCAGTTGAAACCCGATGTATGTTTAACCGATTACCTTTGGGTCATGCCTTGGATGGTAAAGGTTAATATTCCAGTGGTACCTATCATGTCAACCTCACCTAATGACCTTTACAATGGACCACCTCTCATGTCAGGATATTCTATCAATAGTTCACCTCAACTTTGGAAAGAATATAATTCACTTCGAGAAAGGTCCGAATTACGATTTGTAGCTCGAGCTAGCGAGATTTTTAGCTCTTTTGGTGTTGAATATGTGCCAAGAACTTATGCTAAACAATTGGGAATTTATATCTACCCTGGACCTTTGGATTATAAAGAATTGGGCCTCCATGAAACCATGGATGCGACTTGATTCAGCAATTAGATTAACAAGTTCAACTGAATTTGTGATTCCTGATAAGCTTAAAGATGGACCTGGTAAATTGGTTTACGTTTCAATGGGAACTTTGGCTTCAACAGTTCCTGAAATGATGAACATGATGATTTCTGCTTTATCCAAGTCACCTCATCGTTTTATCATTTCAACTGGACCTTTTGGTGATTCATATAAGCTTTATGATAATATGTGGGGTGATAAGTATCTAGATCAAGTGTCCATATTACCTAAAGTCGATCTATTCATCACTCATGGAGGTTCAAATTCACTGATTGAAAGTCTTACTGTTGGAAAACCACTTCTTGTGATACCTCAATTTGGCGATCAATTGGCTAATGGCCAACGAATTGTTGATCTAAAATTGGGGGATAAGATTAACCTGTGGGAGTTTAATGAAGAAAAATTAGTTGAAAAGATTGATCTTGTTCTTAATGATGATCTTATTCGTGCCAATGTTGCCAGAGTTGCGGAAGAATTGAAGAAATCAGACTCAACAAATGAAGTTTGTTCTGCAATTGAAAATCTCGCTCGAGCCAAGGAACCATCAGTCTAGTTGATTAACAACAATTAACCAGTTGAATTAACGTTTGCACTTTTATCCTCATCTTCAAACATACTAATTGAATTGCGCGCGAAAAAACTTGAATCGTTCAAGAAAATTATTACAAAGTTTTACCTGAAAGTTTGGTTCGTATCGATCAAATTGTAATTTAGCTGTAAAAAAATGATCGAAGTGTTTCAATTTTGATTTCATTAGTCGATATTGTGAGAAAATCTGATAAATTTCAGTCAAGATAATCAACTAATAAACTCATTTTAATTGATTTTATTTATTTTATTTTTTATCGATTTACAAGTTCACCATTTTGTATTCAATCATCTCTAAGATCTGCTTGAATCTTAGGTGCTAGTAAACGTGCTGATTTCATTACTACGGGCACTCCAGCTCCAGGTTGAGTTGATGCTCCAGTAAAGTAGAGATTCTTAAAGAATGAACTTTTCTGGGAAGGTCTGAAAGCGAGTAAATTTGTAAGATTATGATTAATCCCAAGAATTGTTCCTTTCCATGCATTGTATTTAAATTCCCATGTTTCTGGTGTCTCAACAAGTTCAGTCTCAATGAGTGAGGAAAAGTCACTTATCTCAAGACGATTTTCAAGAGAATTAATTATTTTCTCTTTCAATTGGAGAACCAACTTGTCAAAGTTAACGGATGAATCGGCCATCGCTCCAACAGGTACTAAAACTGTAAGCGCATCTTTACCCGTCGGTGCCAATTCTGGATCCATTCGGTTTGCAATATGAATATAAAACGCTGGATCATCAGGGACAATTTTATCCTCATGAATTTGTCGAAATAATTTCTCATAATCAAGAGGTAAAAATATATTGTGAGCCTTTAATCGTGTCAATTGTTTCGATAAGCCCCAGAAAAAGGTGATCGTTGAAGGTACATTGTCCACCGATGCAAGATGATCCCCATAAGATGTTTGAGGTAAAAGTTTATTATAAGTATAAGTTAGATCGGCATTGGAAATGACCGCATCCGATGGGTGGAAGGTTTCATTTGATAAACGGACACCGATGGCCTTTCCCTGTGAGTCAATTTCAATCTTATCCACAGAGGAATTGTAAACAATTTCAACTCCAAACTTTTGGGTTGCAATTTTTTCCAATGCATTGACCACACTGACCATTCCTCCCTTTGGATACCAGATACCTCTTAATAGCTCAGTTGCCGGTAGAACGGTGAACAAACCAGAACCTTTAAATGGTGAAATACTTGAGAGAAAATGGTAAAAGTTAATAATCTAATGATGATTAAGAATAATGATTAACTTTGATCAATATAATTACCCAAAGTAAAGAGCCTGGAAAGTCAATGCTTGACGAACTTCATCCGATTGGAAATATTTACTCACAATATCGTACATGGATGAGCCTAAGGGTATCGACGGAAGCCTTGTGATTAAATCTACGTTGATTAGATCCCAATAAGAATCGTAAGTTGAATTAAAGACAAGATTGTAGACAATGTCACGAAACTTTTCACACTCTTTTAGAAAAGAGATTAAATTTTTCTGACAAGAATCAGAATCTTTCTCGAAAATTTCAATCGTTTCCAAGAGTTTATCCATCGATGTTGTATATTCAAAGGTTTTCCCGTTACCGAAAAAAACTTTATGATGATCAGTATAATGAATTATATCCACATGAGATTCAATGGATTCACCAAGTTCGGCAAAAGTTTCCTCGTAAATGTCACTGAAAAGGTAAAGAATTGCTCCTTGTTCCCATGAAAAACCATCTCGAGAAACTCTGGAACATCGACCACCACAATATCCGTTCTTTTCGAAGAGGGTCACCTGAAAGCCCATCGACGAAAGTCGAGCGGCAGCGGTAAGTCCACCTACTCCTCCACCGATGATGTTAATTTTCTTCCTTTCTGATTGTACCATAATTAACGAGCAAATGTAATTAAAATTAGAGTGTCAACTTGATCGGAATAATTCAAGTTTAATATTAACAAAAAGTTTTGGGAACTTCGGTGAACACAAATAATAATCAAAACTTTTTTTAAATTTGAACTATTGAGATTCTAATTGATCAACTTTACTCTTATTTCTTAATGAATAACTTTTGATTGCTACGATTTGAATTACTAGAATAACTAATTCATATTTGATTCCTCTCTTCTTATATGTTTTACATTTAATTCCCAGTTAATTATCGCTGAGTTTTAATCAACAATTTAAACGAACATAAAATTGATCATTAAGCTAACAAACGCAATCGACTCGAAAGTTTATGTAAACAATATTGAAACAATTTAGCACGTAATTAATTATGAATATTTTTTCATCAACAATTTAATGTTAAAATGTTACAAATTCAGTTTCAATCAAACAATTTACGAGACTAATTAATCAATAGTCAAATCTTAATCGGTTGATTTGTTTCCTCGTCTTTTTTTTATATAATCCAATAAATCGTTATTAACTTAATCAATGACGTTATTACTAAATGAAAAGATCGTTTTGAAATTCCCTTTAATTAACCAGGTAAATGTTGCAATTAGTTGATAATTTGTATAAGACGAATGTCCAATTAGGTGAATTGACCAATCAAGATGATATTGATGATCAACAAGCGGTGAATCCACCATCAATCGGAAGAATAGCACCATTGATCATTGAAGATCGATCGCTAAGAAGGAAAACAATAGCGTCCACAACTTCATCTACTTCGGCAAATCGACGAAGTGGAATTTGGTTCAACATCCAATCTCGCTTGGTCGGTTCTGACCAACCCTTTCTACCCAATTCAGTAAGAACAACGGTCGGATTGACAGAATTACAACGAATATTAAATGGACCAAGTTCTAAAGCTGAAACTCGAGTTATCTGATCAACAGCACCTTTCGATGCACAGTAGACCACATGATCTTGTAAGGCCACCATTCCCGCTTGACTAGAGATATTGACAATCGATCCCGATTTACCTTCGGCCTTAAGTTTAGCAACAACTTGCTGAGTAACATTGATGATCGCTTTTACATTGATATTAAAATGACTTATTTAAGGTATCGGAGAAAGAAAATTAATTTTAATTGTCACTAATTGTAATTAACTTACTAAGTATTACTTACATGTCACAAATTTCCTCATCGACGGTTCCAATGGCATTATTTTGTCCAAATGCCGCATTGTTAACCAGTAAATCAATTGTATCCAATGAAGATATTACACTTTTTGTCTCATTCCAATGTGCCAGGTCACATTGAACAATCTTAATTGATGGTAACTTTAATTAACAATAAAAAAAAACTTTCTCATGATAATTATCACATAATTATTATTGAAAATGATTCTTCAATTATATTACCTCTGCTTTGAGAGTTTCAAGATTTTCGAGTGTCTTACTCAGAGCAACGACATCGGCACCGAGTTTCACCAACCTTTTAACGGTCTCTCTTCCAATCCCTGAGAAATGATCACAAATCATCAGTCAATTAATTGGAACTATTAGTTAATTAATCACAGAATTACCTCTTCCTGCTCCAGTGACAAGAGCTCGTTTACCATTGAACGAAATGTCCATAATGTAATCAAATTGATTCTCAACTGACTTATGAAAAATGAACTCAAATCAAATTACAATTAGAGTTGATTCAATTCTAATTGTAAGACTGATGATGATTTAGAAAAAAAAAGAAACAATTAATTGCTTCATTGTGAAGAGCTTAGATAATTAATCTCCATAGTTTCAGAAATTAATTGTTCCCTTAACATTAAATCAACTGAGTGCTTCTTTATTTCATTTAATTGTCTTTACTTATTATTACAATTAAAATCAACCACAAGAATCTTATCAACGAAAGTACTTCTAATTAAGTTGATTGGACTTTCTCTTGGTTAGATTAGTTAATTGTTTCTTTCTCATGATTAACCATTTCATTAATAATTTAAGTACTTAAAAACAATTAGAGTTTAGTTTAAAGTATTTTCCATCAATCATTGAAAGTATCAACAACAATTAATCTTGATTAGATTCAATTTAACTATAAAATGATTCAAATGAAACAAAAATGGTTTAAATTGGTTGGATAAATTGTAAATCATGAGGATCGATAAGGAAAAGTAAATCAATTAATAATCAGGAAGCACAATCAGGAATCAGTTATCAACGTAACAAACCAGTAACAATCGTAAACGTGACAAGGTTAACTCAAGAATCAAATTAATTATAAATCAAATCATAAATTAATCATAATTTTTAATAGTTAACATTCAACGAGAGGTAATTAGTTTGTAAGCTTATCAATCTGATATAATAATTATGCCACAATTAAGATGAGTAGACAACTGATGAAAAGTTGTTGACAAAATTAGGAAAGTTAATACAATCAACAAGCCAGGTCAACAATTAACCTTTCAGAAATAAATCAGTTCAATAGGTCGTAAATTTAATTTTAATTTTCTCATTTTAGTAAACTCTTTTAATTCAAAATCGCGCCAAAAGTTAATTTTCAACTTTCACCAAAAGATTTTCACCTTTACCGGTAAATTCAAACTCACTTTCCGTCAAATTTTTCCTCAATTAATTTCATTTAAATTCAATTGTAAATTTCATCGATTAATTTAAATGAACGCGAATAATTTTTTCTACATTTGATCAGACCTTTCTTTTTATTATTATATTGTGAATGTGATTTCAAGAGCCACGACTAGACTTGATTGTTTAATTCTTGATGATAGTCGATTAACATGATTAAATTGTTTTCTTCATGTTTTTTTTTCCTAATATTATTGCATTTGATTTGTAATTGAATCTCTCTCTCTCTCTCTCTCTCTCTCGCATTTGCATGGTTACTTTAATTAACTGGTCCTTCTTTTCATTAGATGCTGAGCTTTATATAGACAATTGATTACTTTGAAATCCAAACGAAGGTGTTAATTGCTTTTACTAATAATTTTCTTGGGCCAAAACGTTGAAATTTTGTTCGTTTTCCCTTTTCGATAAAACTTTTATCACTTTTCCTCTGATGATATACAAAAGTATATTAATTGTGTTCTCAGTCTTCTTTGCATCAGTTGATTGCGTTGATTGGTTCTTTCGATTTTCGTCTTCAGAGTATTTAAATACACTGGCGATGATTTTATGGCCTTTTCTTTTGTCACATTCACGGTAAAAACCTCATGTATAAAAAAACGTTTGTTTTCATATATCGAGGGAGAGGCTCACATTTTTTATTTGGTTTCAATTGTGTTTTTTTTTGTTGTTGTGGTAGATTGGTGCTGATAGATTCAATTAATTGCTAATGAAGAAAAGAAAAGAAATAAAGAATTTCATCATTTGTTTTTTTTTCTCTTCCTCTCTTTTTATCGAATTGTAAAGGGGGGCATATATTTTAGAATTTCAATCAAAAATTTGAGAAACCGGGAGGAGGTTGTTTCTGACGAATCACTGGTCTGGCTATGAATCCTTGATGTGTTCTAGCCATTGGGTGCTGACAATTTTGTAGACCGTTTGTGATTGAAAATGGATTCGCGTGGGTTGGGTGAACCTGATGCTGCGTTGGATGTTGGTGATGTTGAGAGTTTTGTTGGAACCAAGGCTGAAGAAATCGAAAAGTAAATAAAGAAAGTTAATTAATATGCAAATATGACACAAATAGATTGTTGGTGATAAATGTTTCCATTTTCATGATAACAAGATAAATTTACGAAACATGGAATAGAGAGAGAGAGAGAGAGAGAGAGAGAGAGAGAGAGAGAGAGAGAGAGAGAGAGAACTGTCAAAAGTATGGATAAAACATTAATTGGGAACAAATTGGGAAAAGAGTGAAAATAGATAGAATTTTATCTCATTTATCGAGAAATTGTCAAAAATGACAATATTCATGGAGAATTTCATTTCATAATAGAATCTGATAAGTTAGCTAGACGTTTAATTAATAGAAAGATCATAATTGAATGATAAAACCAAAAATTAGGTAACCGTTAGAAAAGGTTATGAGAGTTGTGATTGTTAAATTTATTCTAACACGACGATTGACACACATTTAAAGAAAAGTTACTTAAATTACTTACCGTTATTTGAGAGGTGCATGAACAAACGGAATTTGTTGCTGGTGGTGTTGTGGTTGCTGTTGTGTTTGTTGTTGTTGTTGTTGCGTCTGGGCGGGAGGCTTAAAGTTGGGAGAAGCTGATGTTGAGCTTCCAGCGAAGGTGATATTGACATTGGGAAGTGCTTTTAATGAATTGCGCCAGGATATGTGTTCCTGAGTAAGCTGATCATCCTCATTGTGGATCGAGATAACATGGAGGGTGATGGATAGTTGACGGACTGAGAATCGGTGGACACTGGAATTGATTGACTCATCCCTAAACAAGAAACATTATCCTCATATGGATGATTTCTGATTAAATCTTCTAATCCATTAGTGGATATGGTTATTGGATCAAAATCAAGACCATCATCCTCAATACTAGTTCCTGGTGAATTTGGAGGCATCGATTCATCACCTGGTGATTTACAACGATTCTCTTTTCCGGATCCTTCATCTTCCTCTTGTTCTTCTTCCTCTAAAGAGGAAATATGAGGATGTGGTAATGAATTGCCCGAAGAACAGGTTGAAAAGCTGGTGCTACTATCACTACTAATTCCAATTATTTCATCGAGTGAATTTTGGTTTCCACAGTCATCCCTACGATCGATGTTAAAGGTTCCACTATCTCCTTCATTGGAACAATTTGATTCATAAGATCCAATATCATCTCTAACATAATTACACATTTCATTAGATTCACCGTCAAAATCCACTGTCCCTTGTTTGTTGTGGTCCTGTGGTAATGTTGGATACCTTTGATTCAATGCACCATTTACGCTTTTCTACTTAAATATTGGTTAATTAACTTTTCATATTCCGTGTGTTTTGTTGCATTTCCTCTTTAGTAAAGAGAGCCTCAGGATCTATAAGAGAAAATCAGTTGTTAGAGTTTATAATAAAAAGAAAAAAGAAAACATAATAAAAAAACAAAGGTAATTTTATTAGTCAGTTAAATGTAATCAAATAAGTAATTGTTTATAAAATAGGTAATTTGGGACATTGTTTGTTTTACATCAGAACAGATTTTGAGTTTTTAAATTTGTTCGAAATTTTCTTTGATTTTAAGGATGACATATTTGTTATTATTTTATTTTTCTTTGATTATCGTTTGTTTGAAATGGCCATCTTCATCTAATTTTGTCCAGTAACTTCGAGTTAACTGATTGTGTCAATATGTGAATTATAATTTGTTTTCTTCTACAGAAAACTGATTTTGAGAAAAAAAATTTTTCCAAAGTGAGAAAAATTGAAATTGTTAATGGGAGTACCAGAAAATTTTAAGTAAGAGAGAGAGAGATTAAAAAAGAGTAAAATTGTTGAATTTCTTTAGCTATTTCTATGATTTAATTAGTTAGCTTAAATTGTTTCATTTTCCAAAGTTGAAGGATGAACTTGAAGAACAATCAAAATAAAAACGATTCTAGTTGATTCTCACTGAGAATGTAGAAAAATTTAAGGTGATTGTTCTAATTAGTGGTAAAATGAAAATTGGTGAACGATGAATGAAGAGAATATCGATTTGTGTGATTCTCGATGTGTGTGAGAAGTATTTATGATGTCCTCAATTCTTGTTGAGATATTGGTAGGTGTTTAACGAAGATTATTTTTTGGAAGTGGAATTGAGGAAGAATAGTGTTATTCTTTTTTCTTCCAGATTCGATCTTTTTCTTTCTTGTTGTAACAATTCTACTAATATTCTGTTGTTCCAATGTTTCTTGATTTTTGTTTCTTTTTCTTCATCTTGTTTTGATTCTCCAACATTTGCAGTTTCAATTTCTTGTTCACAGGCTGGATTTCTTCCACTTTTACCATTGCTCAATGAAACAATTGGCCAAAAGGTGAACAACAAAACTACAAAGATAGCCCATGGACAAGGAAAAAGTTATATCATCAGCTTCTATGGGTTAAAAAACAAGAAGAAAAGATTCTGGAGAAAATGATTCATATCTTTTTTCGAATATTCATGTTCTCTCTCGAATTCCCGAAAAAATAGCACTCGAATTTGAAGACAGACCGGGTTTTAACTGCCAAATTAAATGGTGGTAAAAGTGATGTAGAAATTGAAGAGGAGGAAGAGATAGATAGAAACTCAGAGAAAGAGATGAAAAAATAGAGATTGAAGAGAGAGACAATGAAGAGGAAGGAGATGAGAATAGAAAGAGCAGAAAGATGAGAACATGTTGATAGAAATATTAACAATGAACATCATTCAAGTTTTAGTGATGATGTTGATGATAATTCTATCGTCGATGATGAAAGTGATAATGATGGCGATCAATCTAGATTCAAACATCGTGGAAATAGTGAAAATTTTTCTAATAGTAAATCATCAAGAACTGATTCATCGTCAACTCCATCAAGTTCATCTAAAGTGGCCTCATCAAAAGACGGTTCAACTCGACGAGAGCATTTATTAAAACAACTTGAAGCTGTAGAAGCGATGATTGCCAAAAAGAAAGCGAAACTTCAGTAAAAAAATTCTCAAATTCGCCCGAACAATTAGGAATCAATCAAAGAGATCAACTAACAAAACATCGCCTCTTTTTAAACTAAATCACGATCACGATTGTGTTACTCTCCATCTCTCTCTCTCTCTCTTTCTCTCTCTGTATCCCTTTAATCAACCTCAAAATGATCATTTTTGTTTTTTTCTATCCACATTCAATCAAAAATGTTTTCCCTCTTCACAACTAAATCAACAACAATAAGTCTACTTGATAAACTGTAATTTCAATTGTAAACTTCATCCGATTGAAAAATCATCTTTTTCATTCAATGTCAAATTTATATCCTGATCTTTAATCATCTTTCTCTCCTTTTCTATTAATCATCTGTTTTCTCTCATCAAGGTGAATCACTAAACCTTAATTGTTTTGCTTCACATTACCAATATTTTATGTCTTTTTGTGGTCAATCTTTTTTCCTTCTTTTTCTTGAAATGTTCAAGAAGTCACTTTTTTCTGTCCTTTTTCTCATCTCTTAAATTGAATCATTTCTTTTTTGTTCACTCAGTTTTTTTTGTGCCTCTAACTTGGAATCGACATTAAAAACAATTTAAAATTAACGTTAGATGAGTTTTTACATGTTACCGGTCCACACTTTCATTTTAATCATTCAATCAATGATGAATTGAATTTAAATGACAATTGGTTAACTTAAGTTATTTTATGTATTGACAGAGAAATGGATTTTGTATTTACAGATCAGAATGCTTGACGAGCAGAATATGCTCTCAAATTACGATAAACTCGAGCTGGTGCTCTACCAAGAATTAGATTACTAATTGCTGTCCTTGCGGTCCGAATGTTTTGATAAGATCCTAGAATGTGAATTTTATGATCAGCGACAACAATCCGTGTTTTGGTTACATTTTCAATAGTAAACTTTGTTCTTCCTCCTTTACCAGCAATACGTCCAATAGCTCTAGATAAATGGTCACCTTTTAAATTTTTAACATCTTCAACTTGAAATGAGTCTAAATATAATTGATCCAAACGGAGTAAAGCAATAGCATCTTCTACATCAAATCCAAGAGCAAAAGCTTGAACAAAATCAGCAGCTTTTTGAATAGCATCTTTATCCTTGGTTTGTGAACAAGTACGCAATTGAACCAGTCTAGCTTTCATATTAAATCTAACTTGAATCAATAAAGTCTCAACCAAAGGTTTATAAATTTTCAACCAATTTTCCTTTAAAGGTGTTAACCTATGAGGAGGAATGGGAACATCTCGTTTCTCTGAATCCATTTTCCAAAACAACAAATCGATCAATTTCAATCTCCAATAACCAAAAAGGAAAGTCCGAACCAGCGAACACAAAACAAAACAACACAAAAAAAAAGATTAACAATAAAAACCAATCTGATTAAACTAAATTAAAAAAAACAAATGACAATTAACCCAATCGATTTAAAAACCAACAGAGAAAAAAAAACACGCCAACAATCAGGGGACCGTCGACTAAGTACAATCATTTTCGATCACATGTTAAGTTTGTAGAAGAAAAAAATTCTATTCTTTTAAAGAATTTTTTTAATTGATTTTCTTTGATTCTCTTCAGTTTATTTCAACGCATCAGGAATAGAAATTTGATTAATTGACTAGTTTAAAATTGAATTTATTTTAGAATTTAGAAGAGTCTATTTGATTGTTGGCGAATTTCAATTCGATTTGAAAGTAACAAAGAGGAAAATTTGTCTTCTTTTTGGCGCCAACCGCAGCTGATTCAACATTTAGTGTTCATCAAGTTCACAATTAATCAATTGTTTCTTTCCATTGTTGAAGTTAATTTGAAATTTTCTGAGTGATTTATTGTTATCGTTTGGTTGATTGATTGCTGGTGCAAACTTCGTTATTGTCTTTGGGTTTACATTCTTGTATTTTTGTTTTCCATTGTTTTTCTCTTTGGGTTTTGTGTTTCTTTTATTGAAGAGAAAAGCAAAAAGAAAATGACTGTTGAAGAGAATTTACCTTGGGTTGAAAAATATCGACCAAATACTTTGGATGAATTAATTTCTCATGTTGACATTGTTTCCACCATCAATAAGTTTATTAAAGAAAAAAGGATTCCTCATTTACTTTTCTATGGACCTCCAGGTACTGGAAAAACAACCACCATCTTGGCGATTGCTAAGCAGCTTTATAATCAAAAGGAGTTTTCATCAATGGTCTTGGAACTTAATGCCTCTGATGATCGAGGAATCGGGATAATTAGAGGCCCAGTGTTGAGCTTTGCAAGTACGAAAGCCATTTTCAAGACTGGATTTAAATTGGTTATTCTTGATGAAGCCGATGCCATGACTCAAGATGCTCAAGATGCTCTAAGACGAATCATGGAAAAGTATACTGAGAATACACGATTCTGTTTAATATGTAACTATTTGTCTAAAATCAAGCCAGCCATTCAATCTCGATGTACTCGATTCAGATTTGGTCCACTTAACTCGGATCAAATTGTCCCCAGATTTGATTACATTGTCTCCAAGGAAAAGGTTAACATTACTGAAGATGGTCGGAAAGCTATTCTTGAATTATCTGGTGGTGATATGAGAAAAGTTTTAAATCTATTACAAAGTACACATCTTGGATTTGATGTTGTCGACGAGCTAAATGTTTACCTTTGTTGTGGTCAACCTCTGAAAGCAGACATAGAATCTGTTTTAGAATGTTTGATTACCATGTCTTTTAAAGATTCTCAACGTCGATTGATTACCATTCAAAAGGAAAAAGGAATCGCTCTTCAAGATATTCTCAGTCAAATACATTTAGCTGTTCATAAAATTGATCTACCATTGATCACTAAAATTGAAATTCTTCGTAAAATGGCAAACATTGAATATTACATTTCTTCAGGAGCCAATGAGACATTACAATTATCAGCATTAGTTGCAGCATTTCAACCAGCTCGATCCAAAAATTAATCTAAATAAAATTCACATTCAAAAACATCCAACATCCAATGAAGATGAACCGATAGAATGTGAAAATCATCTCTTCCAGATCACCATAAAGATGAAACTTTTATTGTATAAATCCTAAAATGGTGTAACACCAAATTAATTGGTAAAAATTTCACATTCGAAAGAAAATAAATCCGTTACCAAGAACAAAATTAACAAACAATAATTAACCTTTACCCCAAACTATCAGGAAAAAAAGAGCAAAGAAAAAAAAATTTAACTCAGAGTAAAACAGAATTAAATCATCAAATAAAATCGATATTACCACAAGTAAACTAACAAGAAGAAAAAAGATTTAACGCAATTAAACAACCAAATTCCAATTTTGAGATTAATCCAACAATCAAGTTTAATCTGATTCAATATGATTAAACCAAAGATTAATTTCAGATTAATTGCTAATCAGTTTCGTTGGCGATTCAATTTACAAGATTCACCGAAAAAGTAACAATTTCCAGTGAATTTAATCCAAAAACCGAGACAACGATAAACCAACGATAGAAAAAGTTTTCAACAATTAAACTAAACATTTTCAATTGAATAAAATGGAATCAGAACAATTAAATTAGTGGATAGTTAGTCTGATGGTGAAGTGAAACAATTTAAATGAAAATGAAAAAGAAAAAAAAAGAAAACAAAAAATAAAAGAATTCAAGTTACGCCATCTGACGAGTTTTTCCTCAGTCGAAATCGAACAATCCGCTAGATGGAGACACTGAATTCTACGGCCATTTTTCTCCTTCAGAGAAAAATAAATAACAAAGTAGCGATTATTAGATTTTCCAATAATCGATTGTGACGCATATTTTTCTGTAAATCGATGATGAGCGATATTTTGCCGAAAGAGAAAAAAGACAGAGGAAAAGAGAGAGGAAAAGGATGAGAAAGAGAAAAGAGGGAAACATTTTGATGGAAGGGGAACTTTTAATAGAAAAAGAGAGAGAAAAAGAGAGAGTCGAAAAAATCGATTTTTGTTTCCCATCGACATCGAAGTTTTTTCGATCATCAAAATCATCGATGATCGAAAGCATCACTATAATCAAAGTGAATTTTTTTCTTGTTGGTGTTTTTTCTGTCTTTTTATCTCTTTACTTTCTTTTTCTCTACCTCTCTCTCTCTTTTCTGTCTTTACCTTCACCTTAATTTTCATCTTTACTTAATTATTTAGAGTAAGACTATCATCAAATTGAATAAAATCTGATTGTTTACAACCTGTTACCAGCATCTTAACATTCTCATATTTTTGTTGACTTTCTTTTCTTTTTGTCTCTATATCACCATCATCATCTTTTGATTATTATTTCATCTTTATTTAGATATAATAATACCACTATTATGTCCACTGCAAGTGGCTCCAGTCAAGATGGTATTACCGGTGTAACTGAAGCGAAAATGTATCATCATCATTAGCAGTTCCTGGTACAAGTGTAGACTCAACAAGCTCAAGTCCGCGAGGTTCAGGACCGAGTGTTGGTGCATCTTCTGTTTCAGAACATCGTCATCTTTCAACCGTTGGATCAACCCTTGAACAGCCCACAGCCACTCCATTTAAAGATAAAATTGACCCCTTCATGAAAGAATCTTCAAAACGCAAGCAGAAAAAATCTCAAGGCTCGTCAAGGTACAGGTTAACAAGTGATGTCGAATTACAACAATTACCGTCAATGGAAGGTATATCTCTCTCTCTCTCTCTCTCTCTCTCTCTTTCTCTCTTTTTTGCTCTTTCACTCCTTTTTGGTTTCTTCTCTTTCTCATATTGTCTCTCCTTCTTTCATAGATGTACCACCATCCGAGGTTGAATCACTTTTCATCAAAAAGTTGAGACAGTGTTGCGTTATTTTCGACTTTATGGATCCAGTGGCAGATCTTAAAGGAAAAGAGGTTAAACGAGCCACGCTCAATGAACTTGTTGATTGTTTAACTAGAGGTCGTTTTGTAATCACAGAAGCGGTTTACCCCGAAATTATTAGAATGATAGGATGTAATTTATTCCGGACATTACCGCCAAGTGAAAATCCCGATTTTGATCCTGAAGAAGATGATCCAACGTTAGAAGCATCCTGGCCACATCTTCAATTGGTTTATGAATTCTTTTTGAGATTTTTAGAGTCTCACGATTTCCAGCCAAGTATTGGCAAGAAAGTTATCGATCAAAAATTTGTGTTACAACTCTTAGAGTTGTTTGACAGTGAAGATCCAAGGGAAAGAGACTTTTTGAAAACAGTTTTACACCGGATATACGGGAAATTTTTGGGCCTTCGAGCCTTCATTAGGAAACAAATTAATAACATTTTCTTGCGGTTCATTTATGAGACCGAACACTTTAATGGAATAGGAGAATTACTTGAAATATTAGGAAGGTAAGCATCTTGTTCAACTTTAACCACCAAACCCTGATTGAAATCAAGGCTAGACCATTGATTTAAAAGTGAGATGTGATAATACAGTTTAAAAGAGAGAAAATGATGAGCCATTTAAAATTTAAATGCTCCATTTCTCTGATCATCACATTGTTTTGATTTTCTTCACACAATCAACTCTCATTCCTTGAGCATTGGTCAACCCTTGAGCTCTTGTCACTGTTATCATATCATTAACTATTTAACATCTTATCCAATTCAAGAACGTTTTTATATTTGATTCACATATGATTTCCAATATTTATACTCTCCTTTTCATTCTTTCACTCATTTCTGTTTTCTTTTCTTTTTCCCTTTACAGTATAATTAATGGGTTTGCTCTCCCGTTGAAATTAGAACATAAACAATTTTTGGTCAAAGTCTTGATACCATTACACAAGCCCAAATGTTTGGGTTTATATCATCCTCAAGTGAGTCTCAATCACCTATTGTGTCTCATTCATTTTTCTCTTTTCATATTTTTTAATGTCTTACCTTTACTTACTCTTTCTCGTCTTTTTATTATTTTCTATGGCTATATCCTTATCTTTCCCGGAGAAAAAAATCTTATTTTTATGTAACCATAATCATTAGATTTATGGCGATTATGGTCTTGATTGAACATAACCGGATTGCTTCTCATTTACTTCTTAATCTTGCCTCTCTCTCTCTCTCTCTCTCTCTCTCTCTCTCTCTCTCTCTCTCTTACACTTTTCTTCTTTCTTCCCATTTCATCTTCTTTTCCATATCTTCCTTGAAATGAAATGTCATTAGAAATGGTAGTTGTATTTTCATTCACTTTGTCCATCCCGAGATTGTTTCCATCTTAAGAATCTCATATATTCACCTTGTTACTTTCTATGTTAATGAATAGAAAATCAAGTCATTGATTAGTTTATGAGCGAAGGATGAATGTGTGTGTGTGTGTTTGTATGAGTGTGAAAAACACAAAGAAAGGAGAGAGAGAGAGAGAGACAAAGGTGGTAAAGAGAAGGAGAGAGGAAGGAAGGAAGGAAGATTGAAAGATAATGAGAATTATCAGAAATGGGAGTTAGTAAGAGGTGAGAGAAAATGAGGCCAATTACCTAGATGAAGCCATAGAATCAAACCCAAACAAGATCAAACCGTTTCTCTTATCCCGTTTATTTCTGCTTCTATTTCACTTTTATTTATTTCTAAATGATCATTTTCTGTTTTTAATCTCCAATGCTTTTCGCTTGTTTATCATCATCATCATCACTCGTTTTGCCTAATTTACGTAGTATTGCTTGTGATTTTCATCTTATCACTTCTCACTCTTTCCTTGTCTATCATCTTACTTTGCATCCTCTCACACATAAACAGTCTGTATATGATGTATGTCGTCATCATTAACCATCATCTTGATTCATCATTATTATTATTTTTCTCCCTTTTTATGATCATTTCTTCATTTCGGTTTTCATCTCTCTCTCTCTCTCTCTCTCTTTCCCTGTTTCTCCTTCTCCCTCTTTATTTTCCTTCAATCTTTTGTCTCTTTTTCCATCATTTTAAGCGCTTCATTAATGTACCTCCAGAAAAAGAGAGTAAATGAGAGAGAAAGTTTTGATCTTGTTTTTCGCCACCAACTAAAAGGATAAAACACTGTTTGGGCTTATATGTGTGTCTATAGATGAATTGTCGGTTCTTAAAAACGTAATCGATAAGTTGGTTGGCTGGTTAGGTTACCAACCTAACCTAACCAACCTGATCATGATTATTATTATCAGCATCTCTCATGAAAAAAGAAAGAAAGATAGAAAGAAAAAAAGAGACTGATAGAGAGATGGAAATGTTATTAACAACTTCTGCGCCAACTCCTATTCCAATTTCTCTTACTCATCCTCACTAGAGGTTGTCATGAATATTATGATGTGACACAGAGCAATACAAAAAAAAATAAATTCTCAACAACACTAGAAACAAAATAAAAGAAAAACTAGAAAAAGAAAAAGAAACAGAAACAGAAAACATCAACCCAAATGGAATCTTTTTTCTTCTTTTATCGTTCCAATGTTTTGGAATCAGATGAGATACACAGCGAAGCCAAAATCTTCAATTCTTTCGTTCCTGATAGATCAATTTCGCTGAAAATTTCCCAATTTCTAACATCTACTCTTTCCTCCTTTCTCTCTCTCTCTCTCTTTCTCCTTGCTAACTATTGGTTTTGATTTATCTTCTATTATACTTTTCTATTTTGTATCAGTTGGGTTGTGATTATGGGTCAAAATGCTTCACTTGAAAACATCTTTGCCCATTAGTATTAATTTATGGGTGTATATTGATTCCTTGCAATTTTGATTGGTATAAGTGTGTATGTGTTTTTGTTGATATTTTGTTTTTCTCCATCAAATACAATCTAGTTTATGATTTACTATGGAAAATATTATCAATATTAATCATATCAATGTCATTCAGTTTTTACCATTTTACTTACCTTATTAACTAATTACTGTTACGATCAGATCAATCCTACTCCTCATCCCGGGAACTATTTTAATCATAAACATTATATTTTTGCTATTTTAACCTTGATATTGATAATCGCTATCTCTCCTTTTTTTTCATTATTATCATTCACTTAATATGCTTATTTTTATTCCATTTAGTGTAGTTATTTTCTTCTACTCATTTTTCTCCCATACTACTATTTACTTTTTTTCCTTCCAATTAAGATTGTCATTTTTTCATTCATATTATATAACAACACTCTTTGACCTTCTGTCATGAATCATTTCGTATAATCTACACAGAGAGAGACTTCATCTCTCTCTCGTCATTTACCCAGAGTCAGTGACCTTGTAAAATTGACTTAACAAGCTCGAAAAAAAACAAAGAACCTAATTCAGTGATGAATTGATGGTGAAATATTTCAACAGTAATTTAATCATTATCTACTGCGAAAGAAAGTTACTGTTTCATGATTGATATCCTGAATTACTGAAAATGTGAATGATTTTTTGATGAAACTTCATTAAATAGTCTTATTAATCATGATAATCAACTTTTTTTTACACTCAAAAGCAACTTGAATAAAACTACGTCAATAAATGGTGAAAGTTTTGACAGGATTAGATTTTCTCTCATTGTTAAAATTGTTGCTCTTTAATTGTATTTATTTTATAAATTGAAATTTTTTTAAGGTTTACACGATGATTTTTATTGTTAATTGTTCAATATTAAAATTAACAATTACCCCCAAACATTATCACGGAACTAATTTATATTCATTTCTTATTCATTATTATTTTTCTTAGCTTGCTTATTGTGTTGTACAATTCCTAGAAAAAGACGCAACTTTAACCGAATCCGTGATCATGGGCTTATTGAAATATTGGCCTAAAACTTGCAGCCAAAAAGAAGTTATGTTCCTCGGCGAAATTGAGGAAATTCTTGATGTAATTGAACCTACTCAGTTCGATAAAATTCAAGAATCATTATTTAAGCAGATTGCCAAATGTGTATCGAGTCCACATTTTCAGGTAAGCAAAAAGAGAGATAACCCAAAGAGATGACGGAATTGAAACATCATGTGAAAATGTTTGTTTCATGATAACATTTATCTTTTTATTTGTCTTGGTGTCAAATATTCTGCGTATAAACAAGCAATAATCAAGATTGAGCTACAAGATAAACTATCATGAAAAGAGAGAGAGAGAGAGTGAGTGAGAAATAGTAGTAACGTTCTGAAAGCTGAGAAAGAAAAGAATATGAAATGAAGAAAAATAAAGTAGGATGAATTTTTAAGGATCTAACATTTAATGTTCGCAAGGATCAGTATTGAAACGATTAATGATTGATCGTTACTCCCGCCAACCTGATCACTTCGAACTGACATTTTGCCTCAATTATTATTCTTTTTCAAGGTTTCAATTGTTACAATCAGTTAGATCTGTTTAATTTGTCAACCTTCTCTCACTATTTGATGATATAAACACACACAAGGTAATTGATTGAATGATTTTTAATATTCAATCACAAATTGAACATCTCCAGACAACTCAAAATGTAAATAGTAAAAGAGAAATTTTTTTTTACTCTTCCTCTTTTCTTGTTGATGAAAACAATTGCTATACATCAATTGTTTTTCAATTGTTCTTTACACCATTATTATTAATTTCATTATATTGTTACCTGATCCGATAAGAATTGGAAAAAAATTTTGAATTATTTAACATTTAATGTGTGACATATCGTTTGAGGTTTTTTTCTGCCTTAAAGTTTAACGAGTGTTAGAAAACAGGTAGAGAGATGTGGTTGTGTATAATTCATTTTCTACTGTATATTTTTAATGAACAATTATCGCTCAGATTGAGGAGAATGATGTCTTGATTGTTTTTTTTCTAATTTCACCTTGTACGGTAAATTGTTATCATATAACAAAATGATTTATTTTGTTTTTTCTTCTTCTGTATTAGTAATTGAATATTTCATGAATGAATTATTAAATTTTCTTTGTTTTTCTTATTCCTTTTTCACTCTCTCTCCCTCTTTCTCTCAATAGGTTGCAGAGCGGGCTCTCTACTTCTGGCATAACGAATACATATTAAGTCTAATCGAGGAGAACTCTAACACAATAATGCCAATCATGTTTCCCGCATTATATAAGATTTCGAAGGAGCATTGGAACCAGACGATCATCGCTCTTGTATACAATGTTTTGAAGACCTTTATGGAAGTTAACTCTAAGTTATTTGACGAATTGACTGCAAATTATAGACAAGAAAGACAAAAGTGCGTGTGTTCCCACTGACCAAATTACCTTCTCTGGTTGTTATTGACTAAATTATTTCAATGTGCTCATTTCCATTTAGAGAGAAGAGAAAAGAAAAAGAAAGAGACGAGTTATGGAGGAAATTATCGGAATTGGAATTAGATGCCAAGAGTGGACCAATAGGAGACGGGAGACTTTAACCACAACATAAATATATATAAATTGTAACAAAGAAGCAAAAAGAGAGGTTGGTATTTAAATCGTTGCAATAGAAATATGAATTTATTTGTTTGTTTTTTTTTCTTTTCATTTATCATTCGAAATAAGCATATCTCTGTATAATGAGAATATAATTAATTTAAAATTGATTTTCTCTCTCTCTCTCTCATTTGATTGTTTTCTCAATCCATTCTAGATAATAGCTCACTCTGGTGTAAACACCGGGAAGTTTGGGCTGGGCACATTTTATGCCGTTTGAGACAATACCAACAAGCGTCCAATAGCCTTTCATGTTGATCATCAAGGGGCCGCCGGAATCACCAAAACATGCATCCTTTCCTCCTTCCTGGAAACCAGCACATAAAGACGATTCAGGAATCTTTACCTCTTTATTATACTCCGAATACGATTCTTGGCATTTGTCATACTTTATCATCGGAACTTGTGTCACTTGCAGCTTATCAGGCAATTTCTTTGTGTTTGGTTCTGTTGTGATTGAGGAAAGAGAAAAAAAAGATGAAAACGTATATAAACAAAAAGAAGGATAAATATTGAGTGTTAATACACAATAACAACAAACAGATAAAAATGAAGACTAAAAAACAATTATAAATATATAAATATTAGAAAAAAATATATATATATAAATATATGAAATCAAAATTTTAGGTTAGGGTTGCATGTCCCAATGAGTAAACGTATATATGAAAAATCAACATCCAAACAATAACAAACAGAAAAATCTTCCTCAATTGAATGAAGAGAAGTGAAAAAAAAACGTAAAAAAAACTAAATTGAATCGGTAAAAAAAATACATAAAAACCAATGAAAAAAATTTAAAACAAAAAAAAAATGTATACAAATGATAACTTATCTTACCTAGTTTTCCCCAACCGGAAACAGTTCCCATTCGTCCATAAAATAATTCATCCTCACCTGATTCCGGTAGACAAATTGGCTGAATGTTATCACCAAATTGAATGTTTTTTTGTAATTTCAACAGAGCGATATCGTGTTTAAGTGTAGATCTGTTGAAATTTGGATGAACGAATGTTTGATTAACCGAAACGGTTTGCTTGTCACTTGCATCGCCAAGAGTCACCTTAAGTGACCCAAACCAGCCTGGGGCACAATGACCTGCAGTTAAAACCCACTGTGATCCAATAATTACACCGCCGCACTTTTTAGTTGCCAAAGAGCCGAAAAATTTATACTCTGTGACTGTTGCATAAAAAGGTATTTCACCGCGTTGACTGTCCCGACCACCGACGATACGACCCGAGAAACTAAAATCAATTGGTCTCAGGCCACAAAATTGCTTAATCATATGTGTTAGTGAATTTGAT